CAGTTACTTCTTTCCTTTATTTACTATTGTGCCAATAACCGACGGAAATCGATTGCCATCCATTGACGGCAATCGAATTTGTAGGAAGGCAGCTTCCACACCTGCGTACGATATCGCACTCATTCAACACACATGGGCCGGGACCAACGGCTTCCGAAGGAAGGCGTGACCAGAGATTTTTATGCCTTAGAAAAATCCCACCAATTTCAGTTACATCTCCACACGAACCTAAGGTTTGAACTCTACAGGCTAACGAAAAGGAACGATAAATGTAACATTAAATTCTGTCTTATAGACTCCTCGCATTTTAAACTGCACATACCACGCAAAACACACCGCGACACTAAGGTTACACTTAAGAACTAACTACTCACACTCCCACCTTTTCCACGGTTCAAGTCAAAGTGAACGAGTAGAAGTTCCAGAACCCTCAGATAGAATAGTAATTTCAAACGACAATTCTCATCATCTTTCTCTGAAACCATTCAATGCTACATCTCTTTTCTTGTCATGCAATTTCAATATACTATCTTACTCAAATCTATTTTCGGTTACTCTTTTATACGAGAGAACGGTTCGGAATCGAACCCCGAACTTTAACGAACAGGTAGCGTATTCGGGTCAAATGGAATGAATTAGCTGAACGTATTGGGAGCTCGTTGGCTTTTGTATGAGAAGTGTAACTCTTTATAAGTGGACGTACGTTCCTTGATGTGGAATACATTTATGAATTGAATTGTAAAAACACCAAAGTTCATGCAATATAATTAAATGCGGAAAATTGTATCATTAGGAATTCTGTATAAATAAATAACTAAATAAATAATTGGAGAAGCGTACTTGTTACATACGACAAACACGACAAGGAACGGTTTTGAAGTCAAGATATTAACGAAAGAGAAAGTCTACGAAGAGAATCGATCAATGTTACTTAGGCCCTAATGCATTGTTCGACTTGATAGTTTTTTGAAGGGCCTACACGGTAAATGAATCGAACTCATATTTGAATCCCGTTCACTAAAATTCTCAAAAACCTAATACTCATACGATGAGTTAAATTTTACTCAAATATTAATAAATATCATTCGTATATGATTGACATTTACTCAGATATGATTAAAAATTACTCATTCTACGAGTGACCTACGCTTTTGCGAATTTGTTAGCCGTAAAGTTTGATTTGACGGCAGGATTTTTTTTCCTTGATTTGTTTTCCGTCGATCTTGTTTTTCCGTGCTGAGCACCAATGCTACCGACGCCAGGAAGGCAGCTCCCACACCTGGACCCTACCTATCGACCCATCAACTCATGAACCGGGACCAACGGCTTTACTTCCCTTCCGAAGGAAGGCATGATCAGAGATGTTATGCCTCAGAACACCCCAGCGGCGCCGACTGGGATTTGACTCAGGTATGCTGGGATGAGAGGTAATCACGCTTACCACTACATCACTGGCGCCGCTGTAAACAAACATAGTATAGTACTAGAATCTCGACTAGAATGGGGTACACGGTTAGAAAAAAGTACCCAAAAATAAGTTCTTTTCACTCATCTCGGCACTATAGTGCAGGAACCCAAAAGTAGGTAAAGCGGGTCAAAGTAAATTTCATTTACTTGTGTGCAATTCGTATGGAATTTTCCACTAGCTTTCAATCAAAAAGTAAGTTAGTTGTACCCAACAGTTGGTAAATATGATTATACTCAATGTTGGGTTCCCGCACTTTACTACCCCTGTTGGGGGGTTTTGCTCCTCAGTTTTTGACAACATTAGAAGGAGAAAAGGAGACAAACTAGTCAAAAGTAGGTAAAAGTGAACTGGCCGTTGGGTACTTTTTTCTTACCGTGTACGTTAATCGATTTGCTTGGGAACAATATACTAGTCAAGAAGTGAGTTAGTTTCCAACCGGTGCACAGTGGGCAAAAATGACAAAGCCACGACTAAATTTAATATCTCGGCTGCCATACGGTTTCAGTCAACATTTTATACATATTCTCAAAGTAAAAACTCTCCTGAATCGATTGGTGGTGGTCTCATTGGCCGGAGACTTTTGCGTACCGAGATAGAGGGCCGGGATAAATCCGAGTTCCCGGTAATGTAGGAAATGCCACTATCTATCGTCATAATTTTAGACTTTACTTAACGTATATTACTGGAAATTGATGTACTAAGTATATATGGTGTAAATACACCATATACGCCCTCAGGAAAACTCTACTGGCCTAAAGGAGGATCCGGAACGACCGATAAAGTGGCCACATAAAAAAATGTCCTAGAACCTTGCGATTTTTTCTATGTTGTTCAGAAGCAAGAGATCAAAGCGTATTTAGCTTGGAATACATACTTTGGAATATGGTGGCCATATCCTGGTTCACCGGATAATCTGGATTGACCGATAAAGTGGCCATATTATAAAAAATGTCCTAGAACCTTGCGATTTTTTATATGTTGTTCAGAATCAAGAGATCAAAGCGAATTTAATAAAGAATTGAAATTTTGGGGTAAAGTGGCTATATTCTGGTTTTAATTTTTTTTATTCGCTATGAAAGTTTGACAGATAAAATGAGGGGTTCGTGGATTTTCCTATGTTTCGAAGGGCGCATCGATTAGCTTGGGACCGAAGAGAGTACTAGAGCTGAGCCAAAAAGTTGAGCAAGACTTATAAAAGGATAATAACCTTGCAACAATAGTCCTTTTAATGTTGTCCATATAATCAACTCTAAGCGATTAGCATTTAGAAATTTTTACAATATTTTGTGACTCCGACAATTAAGCAAAGCAAAATGATAAAACATCTTTAGTATATTCAAAGTGTTTTTATGTTACTTCATACGCGAAGTTAACGTATTTCAGAGTTGGTTGGAAATGGTAACATGAAGCTTTAGTGTGATGATTTATTAGCTAGAGAATGATCTTTAGAAGAGGGTAGGTGGATAGTTCCGTTAGAGTACGGCAGTTTGAAAATTGAATAGAAGTTGAAAATGAGCGAAGGGCCATTAATGCGACAGTTTTTAAAGATAGACGCACATTTTTGCCTAACTCGTACGATGTACGCGGAGACTTGAAGTATGTCTCCAAGTCTACAGGCAAAAATGTGCGTCCCTCTTTTTACTCATAAACTGACTGCGGCTGTGGAATAGTTCTAGCGACGTTTTCATCACTACCTAAAGCCCCACGTTGCGGGAGCATTTCCAGTCGATGGTGTGTTATAATGCAATTCTTCTTTACCCAACTATTGTGTTGCTCCTCTCGTCATGACCAACGTGATCATCTCAGAGAGGAAGCAGTAGGGTGGTTGTTGCGTGCTGTACCATCATCAGCATTGTTGACGGCTACTCCCACCGTGAGTTGATACATTAATGTATTTTACGTATTCATTTTCAATCGTAACATTTGTATTTCTAGTACTGACCAGTTATTAGATTTCCATATAATGTAAACGTGTCATTTTGGTACTACAACTTGATTATTCGTTGAACGCTGTTATTGTTCGCGATAAACCAAGGTAAATACAGGTCAGTCCCAACATAATTTGGTCGAGCCAAACAAACGATAATAAAATCTTGAACCATAAGCAAAGTCGTAGCTGACAGCATTTACTGCAAGCTCATCGTATTCTGATTTATTTTATGAAAGGCTAGATTGAGTTTACGTAATGGCAATAATAACTAACTTCAAATTTGAGTTTGTACCAACACATGAACTTAATGAATCCCCTATAAGTCCATTGCTTCTCCATTATTCCAATCGAGCCGGCTTTGCCAAATTCCGCTAGAGATAACTGATTGTAATTCAATAGCTCAACCACTAGCACCATCTGCTAGTTCATTCTTCTCTGCCAACGCTATTGTACTGTAGTAGGTATGCCCAAGAATCTCAACCAACCTATTTATTGCCACAGATTCCCATTCCCAATTGGGTCCGCAATAGAGCAAAATCAATATTTCACCGAGATTTTACTTTCCATTCATGGCTGAATCGGTCCATAGCAGTTTGTGTAGCTGCATCTAGGTAGGTATAGATAGCTTCGGCTTCCTTCCCACCATAAGCGGCCTGAATAGAAAAGCAATTATTTTTGACTATTATCGCTTTTCTTCCACCCACTCCGAGGTTGAGTTTAATTTTCACGAGTTTGTTCCACCAGCAAAAAAATATCATCTGCTTCTGAAATGTTCACCTTCTGCCCGGGAACCGGTTCCGGTTGGGTTGGTTGGTTACTCCATGAAAGAGTAACGTTTCCGCGATTTGGAAACTACAAAAACACTTTTGTTGCTCTGTTCTGGGCACAATGCGGAAGAAGGAAAATAATTGCGAGGTGAAAGCTGTTCCTATGCTCTTGCCACCAGTATCAGACCGAGTAGTATGCAGTTGAACCCTAATCTGGTCCGCTTTTCTGGGGGAGGTTGCTTTTGTTCAAAGTTCAATAGACCAGGAGCGGATTTCATTGCCGTTCATTTTGTTTTGCTCTATTTGTTAATAAGGCAAAGCGCTTCGTCCTGTGCTCTCTGAAGGAGCTACTGTTGCAATCTGCAAAAGTTACCCGCATATGGTTTGCAATGCAAGGTGGCAAGTGGCAATGGAAACTCGATAAAACGGGATCGGAAGGGCACTAAGTTAGGAAAGCTGTGTGCCGTTTGAAATTGTTTGACTTTCTTTACTGACTCTGACTCTGCTGGGCACAGTTTATGGAGCAATCTTTACTTAGTTACAGGAGCTTCAAAGAGGAACGGCTATAGAAATTTTATTCATCGTATCTTTTTTGACGAAATGACATTCCTGAAATTGCTCTTCAGCCTAGCAGTATAGGTAATGAATTAGATTGATTGAAATACAAACATAATACTCTTAATTGCAGTACCTGAAGCTGAATAACTACTGAACTACCTGTTGGTAGAAACTACAAACTATTACCTAAAATGTTCCGCTTCTCTGCTAGGGTGTATAAATAGGATGTTCAAGCAACATCAATCACCACACCTAAAAAGAAAATCAACTCATCATCATGAGCTCATTAATCGCAGAAGAATTCATCGATTCCGGCTTCGGGTACCGTACTCACTCGATCAGGACAGCCGAAATGTGTCGTCTTTGCCTGAAGCAGCGCTATCTCGTCGACATCAACGTGAACCAGAACCTGATGGTGCAACTGATGGAGTGCTTTCCAAATTTCCTGAACGACGACAAGGACCTACCGCCATTCGTTTGTGGAGAATGCTACCAGCTGATCGAGATCACCTATCAATTTACGCTTCGCAGCACTCGGACCCAGGTTTTGCTGCGATCCTACGTTCACGAAGGAGGGGATTTTCCACGGCCGGAAATGCTGGAACGGGATTACCGACGAGCGGAGAAACGGTCGGCTCCCTCTGAGAAGGAGGAGGTGGAGCACACGAGCAGAGCAAGCAAGAAGAGACGTTCTTCGGATGAATCGCTGAAAGTGGACAAGAAGACGCGAAAGTCATCGAAGCAAACGGAGAAAAAGGAACGAACCGCCAAGAAGTACAGCAGTAAACGATCGAGTGAAGAGTCAACCAAGAGCAAGGTGAAAGATTACTACAAATCCGACGAATTCCTGTTCGGGGAAGAAATTGATATAGAAAATGCAAAGAAGCGCAATGAAGAAACCAAAAGCGTTGAAGCGGTGCGCTCAGATTTGCAAGCTGAAGAAATTGTGAGTAGCTTACCTAACATGTCGCTGAAAATGTCTTATGAGGAAATGTTGAAAGTGATTAAAACCTTGGAATGCATTGAAAATCACCAACCAAGCTATTGAATGTTGAATATTGTTAAAATAAAGATTAGATTATTATAATTTATTGGTATTGTTTTTTTTTTGTAAACTGCATCGACCCTAGTCCCAGTACGTTGGGCTTGTTATCGATTTTTAATGATATCGCTCATGATGCTCATCATTAGCGATTAAACTGTGAGACCATCAGGTACGAATTTTATATCACAGGTTAGGTTGTGATTAATGGATATGTTTTCTGAAAACAGGCAATGGAAAATTTAATGCCGGTTAAATCAGAATGAAATAATTTATCATAAATTAAAAATGCTACGCAGTCAGGAAATATGCAATAATTCTATAAGTTATGTATCCGAAATTATTGAGTCCTCATAGTACGTTTCAAACCCGGTAATTACCCTTTATGCGGTAGAAGGTTGATACATGAATAATATAATGTTTGGAAGCCCTATTTTAATCTTAAGCGTGATTACCTCTCACCCCAGCAGGCCCGGGCTAAAATCCAGTCGGTGCCGCCGGGATGTTCTGAGCCATAACATCTCTGATCACGCATGCCTTTGGAAGGGAAGTAAAGCCGTTGGTCCCCGATTCATGAGTTGATGGGGTCGATAGGTAGGGTCCAGGTGTGGGAGCTGCCTTGCTGGCGCCGGTAGCATTAGTGCTCAGCACGGAAAACAAGATCGACGGAAAAAACCAAAGGAAAAAAAAAATCATCAATTAGATACATATTTATAAGTTACGTCGCACGACAAATATTTTATGCCACAATACATATGTTTTGAGGTCAAGTTATTAACGATTGAGAAAGTTGACGGAGAGATTCGATCAATGTTACTTAGGAGCCAATGCATTGTTCGGCTTGATAGTTTTTTGAAAGGCCTACCAGATAAATTAATCTGACTCATATTTGAATCCCGTTCACTCAAATTCGTAAAAACGTTGGTCACTCATAGAATTAGTAAATTTTTACTCAAATTTGAATAAATGTAACTCAAATATGCGTGACATTTATTCACATTTGATCAAAATTTACTCATTCAATGAGTGACCTACACCAGGGGGTACGTCACTCTACCACCTTGTTACTGTACTGATTGTGTTTCTTGCGTGTTGTTGGGTGTCGGAGGGTGTTTCTTCATGTCAACCGAGCTATACAAACATCAATCGAAAAATTGTGCCTACTGGCAATCTTAACATCCCATAGCGCTGAAAATGACAGATCCCTCTGTGACTCCTTCGCTGATGTTATTATGTGATAAACACAACCGCGCGAAGATGATTCAGGCAGGTGCCGGTGGTGTAGTGTTAATCGTGACTGCTTCTCACCCCAATGGATCTGGGCTCAATCCCGGCCGAGGTCAGTGGGATTTTTCTGAGGCATAAAACTTTCTGGTCACGAGGGCCGAAATGCTAGTGTTCGTGCAGGCGACTACTACTGCCTCTACCCTTAACATAAAATAGCTCCTGCACCTACCAATGGATGTCACCACTTGTTCCTGTATTATTGTCATTGCTTGTTATGTAGCTTCCTTGTTTTGTTACAATAAATAAACGTATATAGTTCATTTCCAGCACAAAACGCTAAAAAATATGTCAATTTTGTCTCTTCCGATTTAAATGAAACATTGCTCACATGTTCGCTGCTATCAATGGTTGCATTTTTCATTTAAATATGATTTTTTTCGACACAGTAACTTTATAAATGGGCGTATTAAAAAATTGATAATATTTTAAATCATAACATGAAAACTATTGATCTCAACAAAATGACATCTGTTAAAAAGTTGTAGGTAGTTAAATTATCTTTAAGGAAAAAATACACTTAAATAAAAAAAACTTAGTGAATTAATATCAAAAAAAAACTATAACGTTGATTATCTCAAAACACGTCTCCTCAAATCTTTATATTTTTTATCAAGATAGCTGAAGAAATGGTATAAAATTTGGCGAAGAGTTTAGGCTGGTAGCTTGTTTTAAAGAATCTATATATTTTTTATTTTTTGTTAATTTATGTTTATGAAATTGTGTATCTTTTAGTAAAATAATAATTTATTTGAGTTTTGCATACTTGAAGATACTAATTTCAAATAACAAACTAATACCCCGTTCACATTACAGCGTATATCACGTGATATACGCTGTCTTGCAATGAGCTCTCATACATCTAGTTTTCACTGGAAATCCTATGTATGAGTGCTCATTGCAAGACAGCCTATATTACGTGATATATGCTGTAATGTGAACGGGGTATAAAGTGATAATAAAGATGAGGAGGAGATGAAAGTATAGAATTGATAGTTCCGTTTAGAGTACGGCAGTGTGAAAATTGCATATAGAGAGTAGACAGCGAGCAAGGAAAACTTTAGGAAGGTACAAATCGGTTTTATCATCTCTCTTTACCAAACTCCCCCTTCGGAGAGGGATGGTGAGGGGTGTGTGTCCCCGCCACCACTGGCAAAAAGAGATGATAGCCGACCGCTCAAGAACTGTTGCTAACACTGCCAGTCCGAACTTTTCTACTCGGGTATCGCAGTCGTCACGCCGCCAACCGTTAGGCCACCCCTGAGCGTAACCATAGCAACAAAATAAACATCGTAGCAAGCGGGTGTAAAAATTCGTTCAGAGAGTGAAAAAATTAGTTGATTTGTCTTCTAGTGAAAAGAAGTTTAGAAATTTGTGCTTTACGAGTAGAAATAAAACTACTGCATTAATTACATTTATTACACAATGTAGAACATTAACTATTTTTTTACTCCATTAATTACAGTCGAAGTTTCGCCATTAAAGTACATTAATTACATACATTAATTACGGATAGATAACTTTAATTACCGTCAGTATTACTTCAAAACGCATTAATTACTTTAAGTAATTTTGATTGCATTTTAACTTCAACACTCCGGTTCTTTATATTGCGTGCCCCTCGTGGCAGGAGGAACGACACTTCAGAATTATCCTATTTTTACCCAAACCTCTCATAAAATTTTCAACGTGCACAAAATTTCAATCCATCCTATCTATTCTTTCTATTCCCAACTTATCCTTTCTGCATGCACACAAATTGTCAAGCAAGCCGTGCAGTTTTTCGAAGTTTTCAGGTAGACCGCGAAGCCAGTTACTGTCAATTTTCAATAATCTCCACAACAAACACCACGTATGTCAGTTGACCATAATTGGTCGCGGGGGCAAAAACATCAAGTGCATCCATTTTCCGGACTCAAACCGATCGAATTCGACGGATATGAGCCCAGGTGTCTCTTTGTTGTAGCATGGAAGTTGCCGAACAGGCACGAAGCAATAATTATTGTTGATTTCATTCAACTGCTGATTCTAGGCCCGGGAAAAGCATCACCAATCAAACCCCCTACGACAAACAGGTGGAAAAGGAATTCAGGTCATTTTTTCCACTCGGCCCAAGTTGTACTCGTCGCTGCTGTTGGTCAAGGGTTCGGAAAAGAAAGACCTACTGGCGAAGGAAGACACTCACCGGCTGATGAAGTTTTTGCTCGAGAATATTGAGAATCAAATTCCCGTCCAAATACAGCTGGGAATATTAACCGGATCCTAGTGATCCATCGCCACCACCCGTTCCTCATAAGTACAGTTTCGACCTATTCGGTACGGAACCGTTTTCTGCACTTGAGTTATGAGCTTTAGTTAATATTGTTGGGCGGTGACCATTAATTACGTTACGCTAAAAATAAATATTTTCAAACAAAAAGTAACACTGAAAATGATCCCCCTCTTTATATTCCGCGACGCTCTAAGGGCCACAATTTAATTAATTTTAGATTTCGTTATGTCTTTTTTTATATCTAGGTAATTATATTATTATTTTCAAAATAAAAACAAAAGATCAGCGTACCTGCTTTTCAAAAGTTTATGAATACCAAAAATCTCAAGATATAAAACTAAAACATATACATTTTGCAAGCAAGATTTATTGATGAAATTTTTTACGTGTATTTTCAAACATAACAATCATTACTCCTCCTCCCCTATGTAATGATTCGTAACGATATAGGTGATTCCCTCTCCTCTATAAACGTTAATTTATGGACGCTGCCTTCCAGCAAATTTTAATTTTCTTTTTACACCTATCATCTTCGCGTTCAGACTCGTATCCCTCTGAAACTTTTTAACACCCCTCACTTCACATCCATTCCCAGTCCCAGGTATATTCCCATCTACTTTTTCTATCCCTGCTCTATTTTCGTCAACATGACACACTCAAAAAAATCCCATCAATTATGCTTTTCCCCGGAAATCCCAAGTAATAACTAGACTGAAAAATTACATCCAAATGAGTGTCGTTCCCCCTGACAAATGGATGAATTGTACATTGAGAATTATTCCAATGATAGCGTTGAACCTCATCTTGTAGGACAAATATGTAGTTTTCAGAAAAGTCGCATCGCCATGTTGGAGAATTTGTTTTTTTTTTATTTAAAGAATTCTGCCTTTTTATTTTTTATAAAATCATGATATATTAATTTGTCTAACTTTTCAGTAATGAAAAATGAAAAATCTTCGAAAGGCAAAGTTTTAAACTCAATATTACACCTATCAGTCGTAGTCCACTGTTCAAATGATACTTCTAATATTTGTATATCTTTCAACTTTTCTAATAATTTTGATTCGGATAATGACGTATCGTAACAATTCATGCACGTTCAAAGATGGCAAAAGTCTGTTCTACATTGTGAATCGCAAAGAAGTTGTTCCGTATAAATAGTGCGATCACACAATATTCGATCTTTTTTCAGACTGTTCAACATTAGATTTATATTTTCTTGAATCGTACATACACAAACATTATGGGATCCTGATTTACTAAGAAGTTCACAATTTTTTGGCCGTAAGGCTGCAAATGAGCTAAAGCTAATGTTAACATCTTTATGGGTTTCCGTAAAATGCAAGTATGATTCTTTGAGCGGTATTGTTAGTAGACGTTTTTGTATTACCTGGCGTACACCACCCGTCACTACAGACACATAATCTCTTTTTTTTAAACTCTTTATTTG